CCCGCAGAGCCCTTGGTGCTACAGTCGCCTCGGGAGGAGATGGAGCCCGAGACGGACCAGGCAGTGAATAATATCCTGGAAACTGAGGCTGCCGTTGAGGCCGCAGTGCAGCCCATTCCCGGAGCTGCTCCATCTGCGGTAGAGATGGAGAGCAAGGAGGCTGAGGTCAGCTTCAGTGAGTCTTCCAACTCCGCGCAGGAAGCTGAGACCTTGCAGGAGGCTGAAGTTGCTAGGAAGGAAAAGGGCCGCCAGAAAAGCACGCGGCACAGGCGCAAAAGGAGCACGGGCAGGAAGGGCGACATCGCCGAAGTCAACGCCTTTGAGCCAGAGAGGGTGCAGAGCAAGTCACCCCCCGCCAGTGAAGTGAAGGCAAAACCTGAAGAAGCCTCGAAGGAGGAAAAGCAGCCCAAACCCACAGCTCAAGCATCCACGGAGCCAAGCGCTTCTGACACCAGCAAAGCTGCAGCTGCTGATGTGGTCATGCACGAAGGCATCGCTGAGAGCAGCACCTCTCCAAAAGCATCTGCCCCAGCTCCTCTGGACCTGGCCACCCCGCAAGCTCCTCTGGATGAGGGGAGTCAAGGTGGGTTCAAGATACGGTCGCCCATGGAGAATGCGCCTGTCACACCGCCAAGCGCCCCAAGTGCAGCCCTTCCCACCATCCCTTTGGCAGCCACGGTGGCCAAACTGCCCACCCCAGTACCCACTGCCATTGTCCCCCTTCACTCCAGTGCTGCCAAGGTCCCGGAGTGGATGGTCAGGCATGAGGAGCCCCGTGCCCATTCCACACCACCTCCTGCTCTCCCTCCGGACACGAAGGCATCAGATATTGATACAAACTCCAGCACTTTGAGGAAGATTCTGATGGAGCCCAAATACGTCTCGGCCACGAGCGTATCCTCCACACACGTGACAACAACGCACGCTGAGCCGGTGAGTGCTCCTCGTTTGGAGGAGGCACCTCTGCACCCCGTGGTAGAGGCCATAAAGCCAGTTTCAGAGGAGAAGCCAGCAGTTCCTGTCACCAACGCCTTGGATCCACCAGTGGCCGAAGCACCTGTGTTCAGTGAGAAGGAAAAGATCAGTACTGTGATTGCTCCCAAAGCCACCTCTGTGATAAGTAGGATGCCCCACAGTGTGGATCTGGAGGAGGCTCCGAGGATCACCTTGGTGAAGCAAGCTCCCCAAACCCAGACGTGTCTCGTCAACGCTCCCTCGCCGAAATTTAAGCAGAGGTCAAGCACAAATGATAACAGTAGATTCCACCCAGGATCAATGTCTATTATTGAGGAGAGGCCCGTAGAGTCTGGGTCCAGTCCGGGGCTGCGGGTCAACACCTCAGAAGGCGTGGTGCTCCTGAGTTACTCAGGGCAGAAGACAGAAGGCCCTCAGCGAATTAGTGCCAAGATCAGCCAGATTCCCCCAGCCAGTGCTGTCGACATTGAGTTCCAGCAGTCTGTGTCCAAGTCTCAGATTAAACAGGAGCCCATCACACCATCACAGCCGACACCAAAAGGCTCCCAGACCTCGGCCGGCTACGGGACTGTTTCCACCCACTCTTCTTTGGTACTAGGAACACAACCTTACAACACGTCGCCCGTCATCTCCTCAGTGAAACAGGAGCGTGCTGCACTGGAGAAGTCCGACTCATCCCATCTCTCTGTCCAGACTCCAGCCTCTCAGCCCAGTAAAGTCCTCACTCAGACTGGAAACACTCCACCTGTGCTTGTCCCCAACCAGATGGTTGTGAACAAAAAACTGTCTGATCCGTCTGCTCTGAAAGTGGAGACCAAGACTCTGCAACCCTCCAACCTGAGTCCTGGAGTCAGTCCTCATCATCCTTCCCTCTCTGGGAAAATGCATTCGGAAGCAAACCATGTCAGCTCGGGACCCAGCACCCCAACAGACCGGACGATTTCCCACCTGGGGGTCACCAAACAGGAGCCGCACTCTCCGCGTACCAGCGGGCACTCGCCATCGCCCTTCCCCCGCGCCTGCCATCCCGGCAGCACCTCCTCTCCGGCTTTATCTGGCAGCACCCCGGTCATGCTGGCTCCAGGAATTCCCGTTCCTCAGTACATATCCAGCATGCATCCTGAGCAATCCGTTATCATGCCCCCTCACAGCGTCACGCAGACTGTCTCCCTGGGCCATCTGTCCCAAGGCGAGGTGAGGATGAACACCCCTCCTCTCTCCAGCATCCCTTATGGCATCCGCCCGGAAGCGCTCCACTCCCCCAGAGCTGCTCTGCAACCCCAGATAGAGATCAAACCTCAGCGATCCAGCACGCCCCAGCCAGCTCCCATCCGGGAGATGGTGATACCTCCTCTGTCTTCTCAGCACGCTTCCGAGGAGGAGATGCACTACCACCACAGCACGGTGTGCCGAGGACCAGCCCCTGTGCAGTCTGACGTGCTGGTGATGCAGCCGGACTACCGCATGCACCCCAGCAGCATCAGGCTGGACCAGTACAATGTCCCCCGGGATGTCAGGATGATCATGCACCCACACATGGCCGCTGTGAGCGAACACCACTCGGAAACCAGACAATCCCGAACGCCTGAAGGGGCTGGGAAGACTCCCCCCGTCAGTAAGACCCCACAGCCTGGAAAAGAGACGCCAAAATCCTCAGAAGGGAAGATGGCACATTCTCCTCACAGCGAGCCCCGGCTCCTCAGTGTCCCCTCCAGCAGCCAGCTGCCTGGACTGCCTCTGACGCAGCCGGTGGTGGTACCACATGGGGTGCAGATCATGCATCCTGCAGGGAGCTCCTTCCACGACTACCGGTCTGTGTACGGAGACATGAGGAATTACCACACGGCAGCACAGCTCGGGCATCCTCAGTTCCCGGGTGCCTCGCCGATCGGATTGCCTTCCCGGAGCATGACCCCATCTCAGGTGAGAAATAAACCCCTTCTCCTGGGCACGTGTTGTTCAGAGGAGCTGTGGCTGCCCCATCCCTGGAAGTGTTGAAGGGCAGGTTGGATGGGGCTTGGAGCTGGACTGGTGGGAGGTGTCCCTGCCCATACAGGGGGTTGGGGATCTAGATGATCTTTAAGGTCTCTCCAACCCAAACCAGTCTGGGATTTGATGATTCTACCTGAAACCTGGAGCACTTCGAGCTAATGACAGCCCCAGTGCAGCTCTTCATGGCCACATGAGCTGAGTTGAACTCTCTCTGGTTAGTCTCCAAGTCTTGCTTAAATTCATAGCACAAGAGGAACTGTTTTATTTTGGGAAATGGTATTTGAACCCTGCTTGGCATTAGAGGAAGCTAAAAAACCTGTTTTCTTAACTACTCCAGGGCTCCAGCCTACCTACAGGTTTCTTGATGTGAAGGTGTTGGGGGGAGAACTGTCAGTGTTGAGGTGGCCCCTGGGTCACCCATCCTCAGCGGGATGGCGTGGCTGAGGCTGGGCTTGTAGCCAGGGGATCAGGTGCTCTTGGGTGTGAGAGACTGCTGGGGTGGCCCTGGAAGGGGGACTGGTCCAGGCACCACCACAGCAGGGGTAGTGCTGTGGCATGGAGGCACAAGAGTCCTCTGACAGCGACCTGCAGGTGTCCTGGCAGGCCTGTCATTGAATTAACAAGTTCTGATTTGCTCATGGCCTAAAATCTTCCCTTTTTTCCCTGCTGCCGCTCGCCAGGGTCTGCCAGAGGGTGAACACTCGCACCCCAGCCAGCCAGTCCGCAGCAAGACTCCTCAGATCCCGCAGGATCCCAAGGGCCCACCAGCAGCAGGACCCGACCAGAGTCACCATCCCACTGTAAATAGGCATGCAGCACCCCTGGACCCTCACGTCCACCTTCAGAGGGCACAAGCAGACACGGGCCAGACCTCCTACCCTTCACCAGTTGCCATTTCCATCAAACAGGAGCTTCCATCACCGCACCAGCCTCAGGCGGTTCCCAAGCAATCCATATTTATCCCAACCACCTCGGGTCCCGGGGCCCCCCCGGGGCTGCCCCTCAACCGCCCAGAGCCCCAGTCTGCTCTCAAGCAAGAGCCATCTCCTCACCCCGTTTCCCAGAGACCTGTGGATATGGTCCAGCTGCTGACGGTACGTGTCGCTCCGGCCTCTTCTGCCTGAGCAGCTCCTTGTCCAGGGAGAAATAATCAGGTTCTGCAGAGCTTGTCTCACCTGAGGCACCAAGGTCTGACCTCTCTAGTGTCAGACGCTTCAGAAGCAGAGGACGTGATGGATCCTCTGTCCCTGGGGAATTTTAGTCCACGTAGCACTTACTGAACGCTCATGACAGGCTCTGCTCATGCAGAGCAGCCCAGGTTCCTCTCCTTGTCATCTCAAGCAGCCTGCAGGCTCAGGCAGGCAAAGCTGCAGCATTCTCCAGTCAGCTTTCCTTGGGAGGGTTTTCTTCACAGGCAGGGAAGAGTGGTGGTGTGTTTAAAGAGAGAACAAAAACACCTTCCCAAAGCCTAAAGAAGAGGAAGGGGATGGTGAGGAACAGGTACTGATGAGGGACCAGAGTTGTGTTCAGCACTGAGTATTTCCTTTGTGACTTTGAGCAACGCTCCTGCTGCTGCTGTTCCTCGACTCCCGTTTGTAAGAGAGAAAATACCATTTGGTAACAGCCCTGTGCTGGAGGCTGGAAGGTTGGGAAGTGCTCTCATGTTAGGATGAAGGCAGCTTCCCAGGCATCTTAGCCAGCTGGAAGGAAAAGGGATGAACTCTTGGTGTAGCAGGACCTGACCCAAGCCTGGGCTGACGCGTTCGAGGGGCACCGAGTCCTTAGAGCAAAACCAACACGATTCCCTGGGGAAGTATCAGAGGCAAATGAGCAGCTCGGATGGGGTTGAAGATTCCCCCCCACACTTCTCCTTTGTTTGTGGGTAATACTTCTTCTCCCTCTCTTTCCAGAAATACCCAATTGTCTGGCAGGGCCTTTTGGCTCTCAAAAATGACACGGCCGCCGTTCAGCTCCACTTTGTCTCCGGTAACAACGGACTTTGAGCAACGCTCCTGCTGCTGCTGTTCCTCGACTCTCCCGTTTGTAAGAGAGAAAATACCATTTGGTAACAGCCCTGTGCTGGAGGCTGGAAGGTTGGGAAGTGCTCTCATGTTAGGATGAAGGCAGCTTCCCAGGCATCTTAGCCAGCTGGAAGGAAAAGGGATGAACTCTTGGTGTAGCAGGACCTGACCCAAGCCTGGGCTGACGCGTTCGAGGGGCACCGAGTCCTTAGAGCAAAACCAACACGATTCCCTGGGGAAGTATCAGAGGCAAATGAGCAGCTCGGATGGGGTTGAAGATTCCCCCCCACACTTCTCCTTTGTTTGTGGGTAATACTTCTTCTCCCTCTCTTTCCAGAAATACCCAATTGTCTGGCAGGGCCTTTTGGCTCTCAAAAATGACACGGCCGCCCCTCCGCTCCACTCTTTCTCCCACGTCCTGGCGCACCGGTCGCTGCCGGCGCCGGAGGGGGGACCCCCCCTGAGGATCGCTCAGCGCATGCGGCTGGAGGCCTCCCAGCTGGAGGGGGTGGCCCGCAGGATGATGGTGAGGGGGTGGGTGTGTTTGGGAAGAGCTGGTAGATGGGTGTGCTGGAAGCTGGGCTGTTCTTGCCAGCCATGTGATGCAAAACCCCAGCACTGCTCGCAGAAACCTCGGCTCATGCTGGGTTATTTTGGGGTTTGGGTAATGGTTGGGCCATTTCCATTGTCCCAGGGAGTCCAGAGGAGGCCACAGAGATGATCCAAGGGCTGGAGCAGCTCTGCTCTGGAGACAGGCTGGGAGAGTTGGGGTGTTCAGCCTGGAGAAGAGAAGGCTCCAGGGAGACCTTAGAGCACCTTCCAGTGCCTGAAGGGGCTCCAGGAAAGCTGGGGAGGGACTTGGGACAAGGGCAGGGAGGGAGAGGACAAGGGGGAAGGGATGAAAACTGGAAGAGGGAGATTGAGGTGAGACATGAGGAGGAAATTGTTTGGTGTGAGGGTGGTGAGAGCCTGGCCCAGGTTGCCCAGGGAAGCTGTGGCTGCCCCATCCCTGGCAGTGTTGAAGGGCAGGTTGGATGGGGCTTGGAGCAACCTGG